ATTCACTGATTTGGTTTTCTTGTTTAAATTTTCAACTAATTTTTAATTTTTAATTTTCAACATGTACATGTTCAAACATTATATATAATTTTCAATTGAAATTTTTTTTTTGTGCTTCGTCATGCATACATCAAAACAGATTTTTTATTTATTTTAGTTTCAATTCTAACCGGATTCTAATTTTAAATTTTTTTTTTTTTTTTTAATTTCCAACGTTTATATGGTCAAAAGTTCCATTAAATTTTTAAATTTTTAAATTTTTACGTTTATATATGGTCAAACGTTTCATTAAATTTTCAATTTCCAAACTTTGTTGTTGTCATGTGTACATCAGAATGCATTACTTTTATTTTATTTTGTAGATTATATATATTTCGTTATCACTGAGGTCTTTTATAGTCCCCATGACAGGTCACAGGGAATAACAACCTCAGTGATTTTATTTAATTAGATTAATGTATGGCTCCAGCAATTTTGATTCTTGAATTGGAAAAATACCCATTATTTTTTTTTGGTTTTTGGATAATTCTACAATGAGTCTATGATCGCTGATATTTTCATGTCTATCTATATAATTTTTTTTTATGAGTTCACAACCACTGGTAAAAATGTTTTTTCTCTTATGGGAACAACACAGCTTACAAAACATCACGAATCTACCCTGTATTTTTTTAATTTCTAACCATTCATACATAAGTAGCCAGTTAAAGTCTGGTTCTTCTCTTCCTTTTTTATTATTAATCAAATAATTTCCACCACCACCACCACCACTGCTACCACTACCATTATCATTGTTACCTTTTGACTTCACAAGAAAATTATCATTCATCGTTACAAAAAAAAGATTAAAAAATTTTTTTTGTACCACATTCATTGCACATAATTAAGTCTCCGCACATTTTGCACATTTTCCGCACATTCTGCACATTTTCCGCACATTCCACACATTCTCTGCATGTCACACCCCATGTGTCAATCCTTTCCCACATTTGATTTAAAATAAATCTTAACACGAAGTTGGACTACCAGCCTATAATAAATAATTAAGAAATTGGATAATCGATATTTGGACTTAATTTTTTTTTACATAATAATAATAATAATAGTAAGTTCTAATTTCCAAGCTTTAAATATTTATTTTAGAATTTGTATTAATTTCAATTATTTTTTTTTACAATGAAACATTTTACCTAAATTGATATAATAATATATATATCGCTGAATGAATTAGAAAGTTGTATCAAGCAAATTTATTAACTTGGTGATATTTATTTAATATTTTCAAACAAAAATGAATTCACATAACAGACTTCTTTCAAGGATGGCTATTAACAAAATGGAAATAATGTCAGTTAATTTGGTTTTTTTTTGGGGTAATTATTTTTAAAGATACTATCACTAATTTTTTTTCTATCCATTTTTATTATTATTGTTAATTAATATTTTTATATATATTTAGAAATGTAATGATTAAATAAAAGATATTTATATATAAGTTAAGGTTTTATTTATACATGATTTAGAAAGACTTTTATTTACATATTTGATAAATAATATTAATAATAAACACAGATTATACTTGTAAAAAACCAAGGTTTGTTTGTTATATTCACTCTTCATATTTGATGATTGTGTAACAATTTTATATTTACATATTTAATAAATAATATTAATAATAAACACAGATTATACTTGTAAAAAACCAAGTTTTGTTTGTTATATTCACTCTCATTAATTCCAATGTATATAAGATCTAATTTCATATTTGATGATCATGTAACAATTTTATATTTACATATTTAATAAATAATATTAATAATAAACACAGATTATACTTGTAAAAAACCAAGTTTTGTTTGTTATATTCACTCTCATTAATTCCAATGTATATAAGATCTAATTTCATATTCAATAGTTGCCATAATTATCTCTAATTATTATTATCTGATTACATGACTATAATAATAATAATAAATCTAAAAATAGTAAATATGAGGCCGAATGAAATCAACATGAATCTAAAGCCAAAATTACCACATGGGATCTAAAAATAAATTCAAATCAATCTGCCACATAAATGGAATGTTGGGCAAATATATAAAGAGAAAGGTTTTGAAGGAAGAAAAGATAAGTTTGAATTAGATATATTATTAAAAAAAAATAAAAATTTATTCTTAATTATTACATTACTTAAAAAAATAAAAATTTATTCTTAATTATTACATTAAAAAAATAAAAATTTATATCTTACATTACCTTAAAAACCTCCTTTAAAGATCATAGGTTCATTTTTTGATATAGATGTTGAAATTTTAGATGAAAATACTGTCAATTTGGGTTATGATGAAGATTATGATGAAGATTATGATGAAAGTGATGATGAAAGTGATATACTTGTGTATGATTATTCTTCACTTGACAAAGTTAGAGAGAGAATTAGTTGCTTGCTAGATGAAGATGAGGATAATGATGATGATGATAGTGATAGTGTTAGTGATGATGATGTTAGTATTACTGATGAAACAATAGAAATACCAAATGATAGTAGTAATAAATCTAAGGAAAAATTTACTCCCTGTGTTGTAATTGATAACATTGATGGAGTAATACAACAATGTAAATCCAATAATAGTGAGACGTTTAGGACAGCTTGTTGGGGCATGGGAAGTAGATGAAACTGCAGTTAGGAATTATGATAATGTAGTGAATGAATTAGGTGTATGATCAAAATCACATTCATTCAAAAGGGGTTAAACAGGAAGTAAATATAGAAAAAAGCCTTGTACAATTTCGAAAGTGCTTATTTTGTAACCAAAACAAAGCTTTTTTCACACGAAGGAAAACATGTATTGAGCATTGCTGGAATATCATTGGAAAAAATATCCAACTTCCATGCAATGCACAGTATAAATGTAAAGTATTCTCACCTAACTCAACTACAAGTATGACCAAATCTATCTATAGGCCTCAATTTATTTGTTGTGATTGTTTTAATTTACATGGCAGTCATTTAAAACCAAGATCTGGAAGGGGAATACCATTTAAATTATGTAATGATCATGATAATGATGTATCCAGTTCCCTACAATACATAAGTAAATGGATTTTAGAAGTATCTCATGGTAGTGATCAAGGATATAAAGAAAAGGTACTTAACTACTTGGTTCCAGCCTTATCTGTGCTCAATAAAGATTCACCAAAATTTCCTGAAAACATAAAATTGGAACCTTCAAAATCTACATACAGAAGAAATCAAAGCTCCTTGTCTATTTCTTATAAAAACCATTTTAAAATTAGCCAAAGTGAACCTTACAGATGAAGAAAGGGCTTCTAATTTGACCTCAGGAGAATTCTATGATCAAGGAAAAAACACTTGCATTAGCAATTTGGAAAAAAAAGAATATTCTTTCAGAAAATTCTGAACAACTTTCCCAACCTGAATCTTTAGAAAAATATATAAATGCATTTCCACCTTGCTTGATAAGTTTTTTTAATGGAATGGTTGAGACAATAAACATTAAAAAGCAAATTAAACATAGAAATCAAATCTCTGATCCTAAAAATAATCAATTAATCAAAACAACAGCCTTTCTTTCATCAATAGTCATAACAAATGCATTTAAAAAAAGAAAGGTTTGGATTACCCAAATTCTAGCAACCTTATGCCGTAAACCTAAATTATTAAGCTCTTTGTATCAAGTGCTTTTAGCTGGTGGTGTACTTCCTCACACATTAAGACATGAGCGTTGCTGTGAAGATGGATTGATGACAGATGCAGATCCAAGAAAAAATTTAGTTTATGGACCTACAATATGGAATGTTGGTGTAGTTGACAATATTGATTTCAAAGAATCTACTTTTTTTTCAGGAAATATATTTGATGCCACTAGAAATTCTTTACATGCAATAGCCAGAATAGTTATCCAAATTGACTTACAAAAACCTTTGAATGATATCATGAAAGAATCACCAATGTGGTCAAGAACACTTGATAATTTGTTTGGTTCTTCTGAATTTATTGGAGAATGGAATGATAAAAAAAATTGTATTTTTTCTGAATTAATAGAGAAATTTGGATGTGCACCATATACATAATGAAATTACCAACCATTCTTTAAAAAACTCTACAATGGTCAAGACCATACCTAATGTTGTAATACTTAAAGCAGGTCCCCCAGCTAATTGTGATAAAAATGGTTTTGCTACATGTGACCTGTTTAAAGAAGATATTCTTTCTGATGAAGCTGAACTTCAAAATGGGTACAATAAATGCCTTGACATAGTTGCTGATGAAGCAATTTTTCGAAGACTTGTACATTATAATAAAGACCACCCAGAAGCTATTCCTATGCTTGGCCAATTTCACACAAGTAGGGAAATGCTAGTTGTGCTTATTTCTGCATTTTCAGGATATGGGATTTTTGATCTTGCAGCTAAACTTGGTTCCAAATTTTTGGATAAGCTGGATGATGTTGTAGATTACAGAGCAACTTCTAGAACCATAGAATTATTATGGGTTGCTACTGGAATAGCAATTCATCTGCATAAAGAAAAAAATGAAATATCAGTGAATGACATTTTACAAGGAGATAATGATATCCTAAAAATTTGGTATTTATTCTACCAATGGGCTGGTTATTGGAAAGGACATAAAGTTGGTATCAGAACAGGAAATTTCAACATGCAAATTGAAAATTTAGCTGCATTTGCTCCTTTATTTCCTGTAACTGGTAAATTTAATTATTATAGAGCAGTTGTTAATTTTCTAGCTTATCTATGTAAGAATCCTGATCAAGCAAATCTTTTATGGAAGGCATGTTCTGTGAATCTGACAAGAGAAGGCCATTACTATGCATTTGATGAAACAATGGAAATACATGGAATAAAATACATCAAGCAAAATATTAGTCATACTCCTACCTCTACAGAAAATCTCATGAAAGAAATCAAGTCAATGCAACTAAGAAGAGAAAGACTTGATATGTTTCTCTCAAAATTTTTGGATGATGATGTTAAAACCAGAAGTGAAAAGGCCACTCACAGTCGTAAAGAAAGCCTCTGGCAAGTTATAGATGAGCTCTGCAATATATTCAATGGCACAACTCCATTGGATCATTCTTTGTTTAAAAATGTTAAAGAATTAAATGATGAAGGATTAAATAATATATTTACCTGTTACAACAAAGGTATTGAACGGCTTTACACTTTATTAAATGTAGAGGTACTTGGAAATATAAAAACCAAAGCAAGTTCTAAGAAGGATATAATTCCACACAAATGGAGTGATATTAGCAAAGAAAATAAATCAAAAAAAAAAGGAAAATCAAAAGAAAAATCTAATATGAATGAACAACCAATACCTATGATAATTGATGATGATGAAAATATACAAAATCCACTCTCTTCTACTTCCAATGCACCTCCCTTCCCAGGCACCCAGTGTTGAAATTTCAGCGGGAGGGTGTAACGTTACACATATCAAAACCATAGGATTTAAACCTATTTTAGCCCTTTTTGATATGTGTAACGTTACACTCTCCCGCTGAAATTTCAACACTGCCCATATGATAATGAGAAAGAAAGGAGAATTTTTATTAACATTAAAATCACCTTTCATTGTAATTGACAAACACATAAAAAACCAACTTACAAATCAATAAGAATTTTCTCACAATACAGATTGAAAAGATAATCTCCAGTATCCACACTCTCTTGTAGTGCCTTCTTGAATTCATTTCCATTTTTCTTTTATATATTTGTAGGGGAGGGGTGACAATAATTAATATTATTATATAAAAGTATATTACAGAAAAAGATACTCACCTTGAGTGCACTGTCAATGTATTCTTCCAATTTTGATGTCCATAGAAGAGGGTTAAATTTGCACGTTGAAAGCACCTCCTGGGTCAATTCTTTACCAATTTCTGCTTCAAGGTCTTTTTGCTTCATTCCAAATGCACAAATAACGGTAGAATCTTGACAGTACCTTGACATGAAAAAAGCAATATGTAAAATTAGACATTGCCCAAAACAGGATAAGCAGAACTATTGAATACTTACTTCTTTACTTCTGGATTTTCAAATGGTCGTTTATTAGGTGTTCTTATTACAGATATTGAACCAAAGGGTGATTGCGGTGATGGAGTTTCGGATTCAAATAGTGAAGACTCAATGTTTGAGAGAAAAGAAGGTTGTAAATAAGATTCAAATGCTTCTGTATGAGAAGTAACATTGATTGTTTCCTATATATAATATTCATCATAATATAAGTATTGTTGTTTTTTTTGTTATAAATCCATGTATGTATCAACGCACCTCAACAACAGCTTTCATGTCAACCTTCTTTTTCAGCAATACTTTAGCATCAAAGAACTTACGACATGCTTTGATAACATACCTACCTGTCAACGTTTGTAATGACAAATAAGTTGGATTCAATATTGGATGACAATTTACCAAACTGAAATGTGAAAAATAGTATATACCTTTAGCCAATCAATATAATTTTGACAAATTGACCGAACAGATAAAGGAACAACAAAGAGCTGATTTATCTGGTCCAGACTTTCCATGAAATTGGTGAGTACTTGTTCAAAGTTGATTGTAAGATCAGATTGTTCAAGAATATAGTTTGTATAAGCTTCCAAAGACCATTTAGATGCTGGGATAACCTTGAAAAAATTTTCAATAGAATGTGTATTTTCATTACACCGAAAGTTGTAATATTTTGTTACCGTTAATCTTGGTTCACTAATTACAGTTAACATGAGACAAATAAAAATTATTATTATCTTGATTATTGAAAATTTTTTGACACGCGCCATTGTTTATGCATATTTAATTGGCTATTATTGAGTCACACAAAATTTATCCAGAAAATTTGTTCCTTCAATAGTTCTTTATGACATCACGATTACCAAAACAACAACTTTGTATATAAAATACCTCAACGCCCCTACGTTTCTATGCCTGTCATTTAGATGGTGACCTTCTTATCGTAATTCCATCATCCTGCGTCTGACATTTAGTCGGTGGGATTGATGAAGTGCACTCAAGGTGATCTTGCGCCTGTCATTTAGACGGCAAACATTTTTGAGTGCAAAGGTAGGCCTATCATGTCCTATGCCTGACATTTAGTCGGTGGGAATGGTAGATGTACAAAAGCTAAGCTTGTTTTATTTTGCCTGTTAGCCAATACTAAAATATATATATATGTATAGACATATAGATTTATCTATTTTAGTGAAAGAATTGAATAACATTGCATTCTTGTAGAAGAACAACCAATTTTCATAGAATAAACTTCTATTACAAAGTAGTTTATCTTCAGCAACAAACATATCTTTTGGTAAATGGTGTTAATGACAAAAAAAAGTTTAAAAGGTTTATTATATTATTATTCTAAGTAAAAAAAAATTGAGTTATATATATTTGATTATTAACTTGAGAATAGTTATTTTCAAGGGGTTGATAAACTACAAATATAAATTCCACAAGTGAAAGTTCTGGATTTATATAATTTTTTTTTACAGATAAGTGCAGAAGTGGTAAATCAATATCATATTGTTTTATTTTACTTTATTGATTATGCTTAAGCAGTTCAAGGATTAGTAGATTGCAAACAGGCAAAGTTTTGATTGGTAAATTTTTCTTGAAAATTAGATGAAAAAAAAGAAAAAATATTGAAATGATAATAATTATGGAGTAATTAAAGAATTGTCACTTATCGGAATGATTACCATCTGAATAAAAAGCATCAAACAGAAAATGTATTTTCCATAATTGGGTGCTCTACTTTTATTCATCCTACCTTCATTTCTATTTTATTTTAGTACTTCAGGGTTTTTTACTATAAGGTATTAATGAATGGTAGTGTACAATTATGATATCAGCAAATTTCATCATATTAATATAAATTTCCTTGTGATATAATGTCCACTTTGTCTGGTTTTGTTGCAGCATTGCTCTATATAATAAAACAACCTTACAGTTGTATATTCTTCAAAATTAATAAACTTTTATTCTTTCAAATTAATAATTCATTG